GGAAATAGAGGGACTGGGAGGAGAGGCGGGAAAGACCTATGACAGAGATGTAAATTAAATTAATTAATATAAAAATCTAATGTATTTAACCAATCACATTTTGAATTACTTGATTTGGAGATGTTAATGATATGAAGTTGGTTTCTATGTGTTAACTTTTATTCTGTTCCTAATATAGACTATATGCTATACTCAGTGGCCCTTTCAGTGTGAACTAATAGTAGACTCGATGTTTCTCATCTACATGAGTTTGAATAAGTCTATACTATACATCCAGCCTCAATTGTTCTGCTCAGGCCACCTGGATGGGAACTTTCACAGGGGGAGGAGGTGGAATCCATATTGGATTATGTAATATGTTCACTTGATGAGCATAAAAAAACCCTATAATTCTAACTAAAATGTAAATTACACAAAAGCTAATGTAAGTGGCACTCTGGGGCTTATCTTGTAGAACCGGCTGCTATATTTGGCAGTATAGATTGCCTCTTTCTTCTCACACCTGCACAGACAAGTCCATTTATCTCACTGTCAAATGTAACCTGATTCCTGGGTTTTCCTCCTACAATTTTTATGTTTTATCTTCTAAAGAGTGCTCCATTTTTACTTCCACATTGTTCTGATTACACAAACTCACTCTTCCAGAGATGGCTCATTCTCTCATGCATATGCTGGAGTACCCTAAAGTCTTATGTAAACATTACACTATTTCTTGTTCAAATTCACAAGCCCATTATTTCACCACTCTTCCTTCAAGCAGAAAGCTGATGTTAAGCCTCGACACCTACCACATCATTATTAATCAGCAAAGCATCTCTACACACTTGCATACTTCCTTTTCCTTCAAACTCAGCAAGAGCTTCATTGATTCTTCACCATTCTTCTTTCCATATATTTCCAACTTTATGCTCTCAAACTTTAAGAAAATAAAGTAAAATAAAAGGATGAACATTTTTAGTTTCCTACTTAAAATATTTTAGTAGCTACCATTGCCTTAAATATAAGATTCCATCTGCAGACCTTATATATTGATTGATGTTTGTTTTTTTTTTTCACTTCTGAGAATTGAACCCAGAGCCTTGAAACTATTAGGCAAGAGTTACACTAAAGCCTACATTCTCAGCACTGTCTTCTTTCAGTTCCTTGAATACTTTATGAGTTGAGCTTCCCATTTAGCCAATACACAATTTCATGTAGCTCACTGCACACATTAAGCTGTACGTGCACACAGAGTAGTGAGTCTTGTTTATATAACCCTTTCCAGTTTACTTTCTTGAGCCATTGTTAAAATGTCTACCACGTGGCCACATATGCCTCACCTCATTTCCTTAGAGTTTCACAATATGACTAAAATCAAAGGCCACTTTAGAAGGGCTTGGGTTCTCGGAGTCTATACATAGTTTTATTCCAGTCCTTAATTGTGCTGTACTAATTGTACAGTACAAATTGTGTGTGTAACAAGCTGAACATGAATAAAATAGTTTTAGTCTATTCATCCTGACATTTCTGATATCTTTTCATGGGCATTTGCTGATATGAACTTGCAATCGGGATAGAAACATAACAATTTGGTGTAAGCACACTCACAAACATCTCCTCGTATGTAAGTCCAGCAGTCAAGTATAAGTAGTTTTAAAGTAGCACATTTAAGGAGTGCAACATTTTCAAAAGTAGAAACTGAATATTCATGAGAATTGTGTATAACCTGCATAACAATCGGTTCATCTTTAAACTGTTTTATCTGGGGGAAAAAAGCATTTTAACTCTAGCATTCATTGGCAACACCTGATGACAGAAAAAAGATATGGTGATTAGTGTTGAAATATCTGCAAATGAAACACGGAACTAGTTCACTCCTGACACAGATGAGGAAATGAGGATTCAAGAATCTTTCTGAATCTAGGACTCTAATTCTAGATATTTTATATGAGTGATGTATACAGTAAGAGAATGAGAAAAGGTGAAACAGATTCTCTTACACTGCTACACATTTCTTTGTATCTATAATGCACAGAAATGTTTAGATTAATACAGGTGTTAACATTCAATTTTTCAAAATAAAATATGCTAAATGAAATAATGCTAAATATCATAGTATGTTTCAAGAGTATGTGTTTATCTACATACATATGAATGAATGCACAAAGAATATAAATAAATTACATTTTCACATCTATGTCATATAAACAAAAAATGCTGTCATAAATTATTAATGAATAGGATTGTGTTCTGACTTCAATAGAAGGAAAATAAACTTTGTAAAGGTAACTTTTATTTACCTGATGTAATTGTCATCTCCAAGGCTTACTGCCTTCACCTATTAGCCTACATCTAGTCCTGGAAGCTTTTGGCTTCTGGACAATCTAACCTAGGTCTAGAGCGTGCTCTCAGCTTCAGCCTGAACTGTTGTATTTGACCTCAATCTAACTCTGGCAATTTGTTCTGTTCTTCTGGCACCTTCTCATCCTCCAGCTTCTTCTGTCTTCACCTATGTCTTGTTCTCTCTCTCTCTCTCTCTCTCTCTCTCTCTCTCTTTCTGCAAGTTATCTCTGTACAACTGTCCTGACAAAATTGCCTCCTCCCTCTATCTCTGCCTCTGAGCTGCTGTCTTTTCAATTGCCTCTTTTTCCTCTGTTATGAGAGTTGGACATATCCTATTCTACCAAATCTTTCTCTGCTTTGTCATTTTTGTCTGACTTTCAATTAGACATCACTTTTGAACAGGGTGCGTCCTTCTACAAACTAACTTTACCTTTTCTGTTTGGGATTAAGGGTGTGTACTAAGGGCATGTCTGTATTCTGACCAGGTCACACAGACCTAGAAGGTCTTTGGATGTGATCAGAGCAGGCATATTACTCGATTAAAATTTCTCTACAAAGCACTTAATACTATAATGACAAAAGTCAGCCAGAAAGTCTTAAATCCATCCAACATAAGCAATTTAACATGTGAATTAATTATGTATATTAATTCTATGCTAAAGTCTGGGTGCCTTATTACTTAGCATTTACTAACAAAAAATGTATACTGCTAGATAAACCATGAAAATATCAGAAGGACGGAGATAAAGAAAAAGCATCTTGCCCTGGGATACCATTTGTTTTCTGAGATTAACAGTGCAGGGAGTTCAACATGAACAATAAAGCTTGTTTCTGATATGAGGATGCCAAGAGTTACATAGGTGCTGATTGATCTTGGCCTGAAAGGACCACTGGAAAATTTGTAAGTGAGGGTGCATAGGTAAATAGCATCAGAAGGTTTGTTGTTGTTGTAGTTTTGTTTTGTTGTCTTTCTTTCTTTCTCTCTTTCTTTCCTCTCTCCTGTAAACTCATCTTCTCCTATCTTCACACTTCCATGAGGGACCTTGCTTATGTGCCCTCTCCGCCACAGATCCATCAGCTGCCTGGCCAGTCAAGATTATGTTGATAGTCACTGTCAAAGTCCAGGACAGGTAGAACCCTCCTATATTTGGTGAGGTAGATTTCTTCTGGGCAGAAGGTTGCAACATCACCTAGGCTTCACCTTCACTGACATCTCACTACAGCCCTACATCTTCTACCACAGGCAGAATCAGCAAATCCAAAGCAGGACACTGCAGGAGCTGATGCCAGCAGGGAGCAGGCACAGGGATCAGCAGTACATAGGCAGGGATTCCACAGCTACCATCTGACTGATTGCTCCATCCTGCCACTAGCCTCCAACCACAGGCTATTTGTATTTTATCTTTCTATCAAACTAAACATTAAAAAAAAACTATTCACCATTGCATTATATTTTCATAGTTTGATATTTACTATTGCTTCTATTTAGATTTTTAAAAATGTCTTTTTATGTGAAATCACATCCTCTCAAATGCATGAGAAACTGAAACTCCATTATCCTCATATAGCCAAAGGTGACATGGGAGATGCCCAGAAGAGCAGAAAAAAATGTTTCTAAAAGCATCTGTTTCCTGTGATAATTTTGGTTCCTAAAGTTGGCCTGGAACTCTGGTCTCTATAATCTGTCTAATGTTTAAGTGTACTAATGTTAAGCCATTAAACCGAGAGTAAAATCGTTATGAATGATAACTCCCAAATCAGGCTGTGACCTGCTACACCTCAGTGGATTTGGTAACCTGATCTTTTCTCATTCTGGTGTAACCTCAGAATCTCTGCTTCATTTAATTCCTTAAAGCTTAATTAAAAGCAGTATGAAAAGCCAAAAATAATAAAGATTAAATTTCCTTTTATAGTCTATAATGTAGTGATATCCATTTGAGAGAATCTGGAAGTTTTGGGCTCTAAATGGAAACACGACTCATGAAAATTTACTTACTCTCAGCTATCATTTTGCAGAGGGAAACTATGCTAATCTGTTGTTTGGTTGTGCTAGAAATATCAGGATTAAGCATCAGAAAAAATTGCATATCAGCCATACAATGTTCTTTTATCCACCTCTCTCCCGCTTCATGGACATGTTTAAGCTTGATAAATTGACTCCATTGTGCTGTCAAATACATAATTGTGCAATGTGGTTTTCATGGAATGATGCAGGCATTTCAGTAATGTAGCCAAGATGAGAGAACTAGACTGTCAGTGAGTTGAAGGGCAGATTAACCTTGAAGAAATCTATATGATACAGAAATAATGGGCTGGGCTTATAGATCAGTGTTAGAGCTCTTATCCTTCATGTATGAGGTCTTTGGTTCCATCTCTGGTACTGCTAAAAAGAAAAAAAAAAAGGAAAAAGAGAAAGAAAACAGAATGGTTTATTTGTAAAGTAATTGTAACCTGAATTAAGTGCCAGAGATTTATAAAAATTTATAAAAAAAAATTAAGAGGTACTCCAGTATTCTATATATGACATGCATTCGATAAATATTTTCCCCAATCAATAGATGAACGTCTGGGGAAATAAATAAGAAAAGTATTGTGGGAGGTAGAAAAATAAATTATTTAATAATAATACATTTACTGAAAATTATTCCAGGAGACAATCTGAATAAAACCCACCATTTGTGCTTGCCCCGGCAGCACATATAGCAAGACTGGGATGAAACAGAAAATTAGTATGACCCCGCACAAGGATGACATGCGAATTTGTGAAGCATTCCATATTAAAAAATAAATACAACCTCCATCATTTTTTATTGATAAATACTGTATGGTTATTCACTTATTTGTTTGAGATAGACATGTAAATATGTAATCATACATATTAGAATAACTGATTTTTCTGAAACCAAATACAGCTGTAAACTATCACAATAAACCCATTTGAGTCATAGGCATAATGAGGAGGGCATGGTTTTGTTTTCAAGACAGAGTCTCACTAATTACCCACGGCTGGCCTATTTATACCAGGCTAGATTAGAACTCTGGGAGATCTACCTGCATCTGAGTGTTGGGATCAAATGACCCATCACTGTAGACAGACCACACAGAGAACATTTTTTTTTAAGAATCAAATGTTCCCTGGAGGCTTGCACACTGAAGACAGGAGTGAGAGACTCAGACTGTACAACCTAGTGTTAAATGCATTCAGCTAGGGCATGCCTTCAACTTTCTTCACAAGTCCCTAGAACACCTCCCCCCGGCTTTCTTTCCCTGATGTTGGTGTCATTTGGGCTGTCTCATCCATCACAAAAGTTGAAGTTCATTTTGCTTACATATTAGATTTCCTGCTTTAGCTTATCATCAATATAAATTCTGCTTTAATTTTTATACACAATAATTATATTTAGTTTGTGCTTAAACATCAGTATTTCCTATCATAGTATTCCCCTCTCTCAAAATCACATTAATCCATGGCCTTGTCAGGCTGAAGCCCGAGTTCCTTTGTCTTTCCTGTAGATCATCCTTCCTGACATTGACACACAGGGCTCTCTACATTGTATTTATTTCCCTATGGAGAGCCCAACTCTCTACCCTCTACATCTCTTCATGCTTTTTTCCCTCCCTATGCATTTCCTGACAGCTAGCCCACTAATACTTATCCTGAAACACGGTTCGTAGGAAGTCCTCTCAGCAATCCTGGGCATTCTCTTCTACTCTTTGCTGCTGAAGCCTCCTGCTGTCAAGCTAGTGATGGAATTGAAGTCTCTTCAGTGCCAGGAAGATGCACATGTAGTCTGAGATTTCTTTTTTTAATATTGAATAAATAAGAGAATGGCTTCTCAAAAACACAATGTTAGGATTAATAATGAAGTAAATGTCTACATTCTGAAAGAGCAAATTATGACATTTACTTACTTTACTAATGCATAGTAATAGCACGGTCACCGTTGTCAGATGAAATACTGCTCCGAATTTTGTATGCTTTTCTTTCTTTCTCGTCATATCTTCCCTTTTCATTTTTTCTTTCTTTCTCATGGACTGCCTTTTACTTTTATGTCCTACAGGCACAGGAAGACACACACAAACACATGCACACACATAAATGCATATTCTTAAATTGAGAATATGTGTATAAAAGTAAACAATTTTTCATCAAAAGTGAGCTCTGCAGCAAGAGTTACCAATTCTTTCAGCAGGTTTTCTTTCTACCCCTACTAAGGTAAGGCAGGGTGAGACGCAGATGGGTTATTAATCTCTTGTCACTACATGTGGATGGGTTTATGAAACTAAGCAGCTAGTTAAGCCCTAATGCTCGTGACTACCTCACCTCGCACAGTCTTGCTGTTATATATTTCAGACATGCTGATTATGTAAAATTCAGTTGCAAGAGGCCATAATATTAAATTAATCTCTATACTTTATTCACTCTACAGTAGTTAGGGAAAAAAAGAGGAAAGACAAAGCTAAGAAGGCGAGGTTTACTTAGTATCAACCACCCCATTAGAAAACAAAGCAACAAAAACCAGTGTGTATTTTTAACAAATAAAATAGATTTTTCCCTTTTCTAGGTTTTTCAGGTTAAAAAAATTGGCATTTTAATAAAATGAAAATCACTTATTACCAAGATTTCATTCATTATGTCATAAATGTATAACTTTCCCCAGAGGTGCTTGCACTTTTGGTAATGTACTCTGACAACCTGGAAGTCAATGATGACAGATCTGTATGGCAGGGTCCCTGATATTTGACACATAGTTTTATTTCCCCTAACATACATTTACTGGAATTCTTTCAGTTCAGTATGCTCATGTCACCATTTCTATTCAACAAATAGAGGAGATATGACAAATGTCTGTCCTGGCCTGTGCCAGTAATATTTCCAAGAGCCCTTCTCCAGGCACTCACCATTGCAGTCACCTCATGGAGGCTATGGGAACAGATAACCACCTGCAACATGATACAGAAGCAAAGAATCTGAATGTGTGTTGTCTAACTGTAAGGACTGTAATGTGATATAGTGAAATTCTTCTGTTAAACTATCAAGACTTTTGCAGAATTTATTGCAATGTATTTTAGCTTACTATGGAAGCACATGGAACTACCTTTTAAAATTTATCATCATCATATCATCAATATTATCATTTATTACAATTTATTCACTTTGTATCTCATTTGTAGCCTCCTTACTCATCTCCTCCCAGTCTCATCCTCCATCTTCCTTCCTTATCCCTCTTCCCTAATCCATTAATAGGTGAAATCTTCCACCTCTGCTGTCTGACCCATCAGGACTGCCTGGATCCTCTTCCTTTGTGGGCTGCCTAGGTCACCTCACCAAGGAGATGTGATCAAGAAGCAGGCAACCAAATTCATGTCAGAGACTGTTTCTTTTCCTCTTCTAGGGAACCCACATGGGGACTGAGTGGTCTATAGGCTACATCTGAGCAGGGGGGTAGGTCCTCTCTATGTTTGGTATTTTGTTGATGCATCTGTCTCTGCAATCCAACACTCCCACCCCGTGCCCAGCTTTCCTTCCTTCCTTCCTTCCTTCCTTCCTTCCTTCCTTCCTTCCTTCCTTCCTTCCTTCCTTCCTCCCTCCCTCCCTCCCTTCCTTCTTTCTTTCTTCCTTCCTTGGTTTCCTTGTATGGTTGCTATGCACACTCCTGGTTGTTTTATAACCCCCTTCTTCCATAAGGCTTTCTGCATTCTGTCCAAAGGACCTACTTCTTCATCCTATGTTTCTGACAATGATAGTTCAAAGAAAGAATTCAATCTATTCAACTTAATTATGATGTATTAGTAATTTTCCATGAAAGAATTCAAACTTCAGCATAACCTATCCCATTAATCTTCCTTGAAATTGAACGCCATTAGATATAAGCAGAGGAAGACAATGCAGCCACTCCTGATGAGACCAGGTAGGCTAGGGTCAGATGGAAGGGGAGGAGGATCTCCCCTATCAGTGTACTTGGGGAGGGGCATGGGAGGAGATGAGGGAGGGAGGGTGGGACTGGGAAGGGACAAGGGAGGGGCTACACCTGGAATACAAAGTGAATAAACTGTAATTAGTTAAAAAAATAAATAAAGGGAAACAATTGGCTTAAGATGGAAGTAGGTAAGCTGGGTGTCATAGATAATGCCTATAGCCACAGCACTTGGGGAAGCAGAAGCAGGAGAACTAAGAGCCCAGTGTTTTTCTCAGCTACTTGGTAAATTCAAGGCAAGCATGGAACATTTATCCTGGCTCATAAAAACATCAGAGAAAAATGTTAAAAATAGGAAGACATATTCATATGTGCCACTTTCTTTTTCTTCTTAAATTTAGAAGATTTTTCTTATTCACAATATTTTTATTAACAGAGAATTCCATACAATGTGTCTTGATCATTTTTATTCCCAGATAGCCCTAAGTCCTTTCCCATTCCTGGATTCTTTTTAATTTGTACATAAGTAGGTTCATTGGTCAATGCCAGAAATTTTTGGGGGGAATAATTAATTTCATTTTATTTTTTTTTTATTGAAAGTGGAATTACCCTCTTCTATCCCTTCCCATGGTGTTGCTTCTCCCATTCAAGTTCATGTCCTGTTTTTCTTTAAACATCATTGCTTCCCTTTCCCCTCCCTTTTTTTTCTTCCTTATCACATTAGCAGCTCTGTATGTATTGTATTTATTCAGGTCTTGTTTAGGAAGCCATTCTGTTTGGGTATTATGGGTGGATCTTCACTGACATTTTTAGGAGACATAATCTCACAGAAGATCCTTACAATCTTCCTACTTCCTTTTCTGTGATGTTCTCTGAGCCTTAGTTGCAGAAGGTGCATTGTAGATACATCCATTGGAGCTGAACACCACCGATGAGTAGTCCTCTTAATTTTAAAGAGAACTGTATTTTTTCCTTGTCTGTTGCATAAAGAAGCTTTTCTTGATCGGGGAATGAAAGCTACACTTACCTGTAGGTATAACAATAAGAATTTAGAATACAGGTATGAATTATGCTAGTTCAGAAAAGTGCTGTTAATAGGATCTCCTCTGAGATCCACAACTTCGCTTGCCGTGGGCAGTGACTCTGTCCCCAGCAGCAGGCAGAATTTTCTTCCTGTTGAGCAAGCCTAAGTTCAGTTAGACAGCTTTTGATTATCAACGAGACCTGAGTGCCACTGTTGCAACATTAAGAATATTTTGGCCTGCAGCTCATTGTTGTAGTTCATAGGTGTCACACATAGGTAAGACTATAGAGTTTACCTCACTCAGGATGATCCTTTCTAGGCCCCACCATTTGTCTGCAAATTTCATGATTTCCTTGTTTTTAATTGCTGAGTAGTATTGCATTGTGTAAATATACCACAATTTCTGTATCCATTACCAGAAGCAGAAACACACGCTATATACTCACTTATAAGTGGATACTAGACCAATAAGATAGGAAAAAAATTTACTAAAATCTGTACACCTAAAGAAGCTAAACAAGAAGGAGGACCTGGGGTAAGATGATCAATCCTTACTTAGAAAGACAAATAGGATGGACATTGGAAGTAGGAGAAAACAAGTAACAGGACAGGAGCCTACCATAGAGGGCCTCTGGAAGACTCTACCTAGCAGTGTATCAAAGCAGATGTTGAGACTCATGGCCAAACTTTGGGCACAGTGCAGGGAATCATGTGAAAGAAAAGGGAGTTAGTAAGACCTGAAGTGGACGTGAGCTCCACAAGGACCAAATATATCTGGGCACAGGGGCTTGTCTGAGACGGATTCTCCAACCAAGGACCATGCATGAATGTAACCTAGAA